ATTAGAAGTAGAAAATGCAGAGATATTGAAGATTATGAGAGTGAATATGATGGTGTATTTTGAAACACCGAGCCCACACTATATATAAGGGTAATGGTAACCGAAGTCACGGGGTGAACAGTAGCCGAAGTAACGGGTGAACAGTAGCGAAAGTCACGGGTGAACAGTAGCGGAAGTCACGGGGTGAACAGTAGCGGAAGTCACGTGGTGAACAGTAGCCGAAGTCACGGGTGAATAGTAGTCGCTAAGAATTTGATATAAATACAATTATACGTGACCTTATTAACCATAACACTTTAGTTTTTTAAAATGTCTAAGTCTGAGAGTGAGTATTCTTCATCTTCTTCGTCTTCAACATCAGAAAAATTTGTTGAATGGCTTCTTGATGATTCTTCCTCCAAACTCACTACCCACTATGTTGCCTTACAAAAACAACAAATAGCAGATGCAACTTCTACGTCAAAACGTAAAAAGAAGAAAAGAAGAAATATAGAAAGAAAGCGTGAAGATGGATATCGACGTCTGTATGAAGACTACTTTTATGAGAATCCGACATACAATGATGATATATTTCGACGTAGATTTCGGATGCGGAGACCATTATTTCTTCGCATAGTTGAAGGTGTGAATAATCACGATCGATACTTTGAAAGTGGTATCGATTGTACCGGTAGATCAAAATTATCATATCTTCAGAAGTGTACTGCTGCGATACGAATGTTAGCATATGGTGTAGCTGCAGATGCTGTTGATGAATATTTACGAATTGGTGAAACTACAACAATAAAATGTGTTAAGAAGTTTGTACGAGCTATTATTGCAGTGTTTGGGGACGAGTATTTACGAAGACCAAATGTCGCTGATCTTCAATGACTACTTTATATTGGGTACCAACGCGGTTTTCCAGGTATGTTAGGCAGTATTGATTGTATGCATTGAGAGTGGAAAAATTGTTCGGTGGCATGGCACGGACAACATGCTAGAGGGGACCATAAAACTCCAACTATTATGTTAGAAGCAGTTGCTTCACAAGATTTGTGGATATGACATGCTTTTTTTGGGCTTCCAGGCACATTAAATGATATCAATGTGTTAGATCGATCTCCCATCTTCCACGAGGTCTTAGAAGGGAAAGCACYAGAGGTAAATTTCTCTGTTAATGGTAACAACTATAGTTTAGGATACTACCTTGCAGATGGAATCTACCCTAACTGGGCTACGTTTGTGAAATCCATCCCGTTGCCCCAAAGTAAAAAACATCAACTATTTGAAAAAAAAAAACAAGAATCAGCTAGGAAAGATGTAGAAAGAGCGTTTGGCATATTACAATCACGATTTGCCATAGTTAGAGGTCCATCACGGATGTGGTTCAAGGAAATAATCAGAGAAATATTACGAGCTTGYGTAATAATGCACAACATGATTGTCGAAGATGAACGTGACTCATACATTCGTCAATTTGATTTCACAGATGATGCTAATTTCAGTATATCTATGCCTGRAGTTTYTCGAAATCATYTTCCTRAGTATGAAAATTATCTTCGAAGTCATGCAAGAATACGTAACAGGACTCACAACAATCAATTACAAGCGGATTTGGTTGAAGAGATTTGGAGCCGATTTCAAGGAGAAGAAAACAATGATTAATGTAACGTTTTATTTCTATCT